GATATGCCTAGAGATAGTGACAAGAAGTTCTCCATCACCTTTCCACGGATGGAGGTGAGGTCCTTTCCTCTTAGAGCAGGGCCCAGACATTTTCACTCCCAGCCCGATTTCTCCATGAAAGCGCCAACGTGCCTTGAAAGAGTATGTTTCAGTCAGGAGCCTAAAGGAAAGCAGGTAGCCCCAAGTTTCCTGCCTCTGCTGAGAGGGTATTAGGGGACTCTCACATCCAGCAAGTTCATTCAGGGCTAGGTCCTTTACTCTGACAGCAAGGTCTGGATGTTATCACTCCCACACAGATTTCTCTGGGAAAGCGCGGCCATGCCTGGAGAGAATATGTTTCAGTCTGGAGCCTAAAGGAAAGCAGGTAGCCCCAAGTTTCTTGGCTGTTAACATTATATTCAAGCTACATTAATCTAATGCTGAGGTAAGAAAATTTCACAATAAAGGTGATGCAGAATGTCTTTAATGCATCTTGTTCTACCTCCATTGTGGGAAGGCATGAAGAACTGCAATTTAGGCAGACAGCAGTTTGAACAGGCTCAGCATTTTTGACATTTAAAGAAGAGATTGCTTCCTACAAAAACCATCTGTCCATGAATTGAGACACCAAATTATTTACCAGGAATTTTATCAACACATCCAAGAAGTTACTTATGATCTCTGCATGGTCTTAAGATATATCCTTCATATAATATATGAAGATATATTAAGTCTTACGATATATTAAGTTTTAAGATATATCATTCAGATGTTCAATGACATCTGAACCACTTCAGAAGTGCTCTTCTAGGATTCAAACATTCATGGCAAGCTCTTGTAGGACAGAAGGACAACCTTGAGGAGATGTACCAACCTTCAGTCCACAAAGCAGGAAAACAAGGTCCTCCCCATATTCTCACTCACCATCCTATACATCAAATTCAAGCTATTATAGAAATCAGAAATTGAAGGATTTGGATGTGTCTTCTAGCAGCCAGCTAAATCACCTGTTCATTTGAGGCTTATTTGTTGCTTGTTGTTTTTTTCCTTTCACTGGATTACTTTAAAAGAAGAATGATGGTTTCAAGTATCATTATGTCATCACTATTAGCATGAAGCTCGTCTTTGTTTCTGCACGCAGGATACGTGCGTCTACACTTGCAGCACCAACGGTGACACTAGAGGGAGCTCCTGCAGCATCACCGGCCTTAAAGCCTCCAATCTGCTATCAGACCTAAATCACAAGACTTGTCTTCTAAAATTGTGAGGTTCTGGATTGTGGGTTACTATTTATTAACTTCCATACACATTTCAAATTCTCTTTTGCTGCTACAAACTCCAGGATTCCTTGTATCCGTCCTGTTCCTGGCAACAGCTCCCATTACTGCCTGGTTCTAGGAATTAAGACTTAGCCCATTACCTAAATGTTTATGAAAAAAAAATACAACCCAAACACTATGAATGCCTTAGTTTTAGCAAAAATGCTTGAAAAGCATCATTGAAATTTGAATAAAACCCTTCCAAATATTAAACTTTTGTCTTTTTTAAGATTCAGCCTTCCTTTTAATCAGTAAGCCTACAGCTAAGCAGCTAGAATGAAAGCTAATATTTAGCCTTTGAAAAAATAAGAGATTTCTTGGGCATAATGTGGTTACTAGGGAATTCTGAAAAAAAGACATTTATAAGATTGTTGATTTTGCTTTATATTGTATGCTTTTTGCTGGCAATTGCTACAACCAAAACAAAAGTGGCAGAAGCAGCTTATTTATTTTTAGAAAGACAGACATCCCCAGTGATGATTTATAAAATATGGAATCATAGAATGTCTGAGCTGGAAGGGACTTCCAAAGGTCATCTAGTCCAACCCCCCCACCATCATCAGGGACATCTCCAATTAGATCAAGCTACTCAGAGCTTCATCCAGCCTGATCTTGAACATCTCCAGGGATAGGGCCTCCACCACCTGTTTGGGCAACCTATTCCAGTGGTCTGGAATACCCACACACTGAAGAACGTCTAACCTGAATCTCCCCTTTTCTAGTTTAAAGCCATCACCTCTTGTCCTGTCACTACAAACCCTTGTGAATAGTCCCTCCCCTGCATTCTTGTAGGCCCCTCTCAGGTACTGAAAGGTCACTATAAGGTCCCCCCGGAGCCTCCTCTTCTCCAGGCCGAGCAACCCCAACTCCCTCAGCCTGTCCTCACAGGAGAGCTGCTCCAGCCCTCTGATCAATTTTGTGGCTGTCCACTGGACACATTCCAACAGGTCCACATCCTTCTTGTGCTGGGGGCTCCAGAGCTGAACACAATATTCCAGGTGAGGTCTCACCAGGGAATCTCTAATGAAGACAAAAAGCATCCTCTCCATATACTTACTTGAGAAATAATTTGTTTTTAAAGGCAAAAGTTACTAATTTCTACATGGAAAGACTCAGACTTCTGTAGAAACACTATGGTCATTCTATTTGGGAAGGAAATGCATCTCAAGTATCACCTATAGAGGACATTTGCATCAAACATTGTGTTGCTGCATGTCATCCATGAAACTGCCCAGGACCCTTAGCTGTAGAAGTGGGCCCCCATTGCAACAGGTCCCACACAGAACAGAAACACAGCTTTATCACTCTTACTGCTCACAGTTGAAGTATAGCAGACAACTCTACCTACATAGATGCTAAGTACACTATGTGTATTTACTGCAGAGTTCCTTAAAATCTAATGAGTACTGTTCTGTTACAAATATTCAAGACATTTTTTGTGTGTGTGATCATAGAAAATTTTGCTCTGTGCAGCACTATGAGCAGCAAGGTTGGAATAGCTCTAGACCACTGTGTTCACTATTCCTCACATAGGTCTACCACAAAATCATATTCTTTCATTTCTTGCTGGTCTAAAAATGCTTGCACAAAATGATGTGTCATGAGGAAAAAACTAATGTTTTTCTCCCTTCTCCAACAAAAGGGCCACTTTGTCCTTCTCTTTGTGTCACCAGAAGAGACAAGTATCGGATATGGCTGAGCTGATTTTCCCATAGCAGCCCTCCTGGTGCAGTGCCTTTGTGTTGGGAGTTGGAAGGGTGTTGATGGCACCCATGCAGTGACTACCTCTGAGCAGTGCTCACACAGCACCAAGGCCCTTTATAACATTCCCCCCACAATGGGATGGGGGGGCAGGAGCCTGGGGGGAACATAATCAGGACAGCTGACCTGAACTGACCAAAGGGATATTCCAACACCATATGACATCAGCTCAGCTATACAGCTAGTACAAAGCAGGGAGGGGGCTACTCCTCAGTCCTCTGGAGCAATCGCTACGCATTTTGGAGCCCTGCTTCCCAGGAAAGGCCAGATATCACCTGCTTCGCCTGCTGATGGGAAGTAGAGAATGTCTTTGTTTTTTTGCTCTTTGCTTTCTGTGCATGGCATTGCTTAGCTTTTGCTTTCTAATTAAACTGCTCTTGTTTTTACCCACAAGGCTTCTGTCTCTATCTTATTTTCCCTTCCCCTGTTGCTCTGTGAAGGAAGAGGAAAGGGGGAGGGTGATAGAGCAGCATGGTGGGCATCACTTGCTCAGCCAGAGTTAACCCACCACAGCCATTATCCATCAGCCATTATTTAGACTCCACACTTTAAAAAACAAACAACTTGCCTTGACTCCTTTCACTCTCCCTTGTTTACAGCAGATACATTCTCAAATGCTTACTAGATTTCCATCCTCTGCTGCACCTTCTCTGGATGTGAAGTTTTCCACAATGTTCCGGTGTTCCAAGACCTCCATTCTTCTCAGCACACTCTGCCTCCAAAACCTCTCCCACAATTATTTTCTCATTTCCTAAATGCACTTCACTAGATCACTTTCAGAGCTTTTCTACTTAACTCTTCCTCATTAATGTTCAACCTTCTCCTTTCAAAAAAACCAAACCCTAAACTAACCACCCTCTCCATCTCCCCATGCTTCTCCTCTCACATTGTTTTTCCCTTGCTCCAGTGTCTCAACTGTTAGTACCAGCTGAGTTCTATATCATTCCCATTTCTCTTCATCCCCTCAAATAGTTTTAGTTTTCCTATCTCCCTCTTTCTGTGATTTATATCTCTTCCCCAAGTCCTTTCAGGGCATGTGCATTGCAAATCAGAATATCAGAACGTTGTGATGATGTGTTTAGACTTTGGTGTGGGGAATTTGTTTTGCTGATGTAAGCAAAGTTTGTGAAGATTTTGTGATGAATGTATATCTTAATGATTACAAGGTAATGAAGCCTCCAGTACCCTCATCCACCTAATTTAGAATTCAGCATTCTGTAATTCCCAATGGAGACTCTCAGTATCTGCCATCCTTGGCAAGAACAGATCTTGTGTAAAACCTCTCTTCTTCCTGCTTGGTTTTCCTTCCTTCACTTCCTCTTCCCTGTTGTCATTCAAAAATGCATGGAGGAAGGGTAGAACCTGTTACATAGACTGACCTGCCCTCCTACCCCAAAAATTATTCCTAGGAAGCAACACAGAGCAATTTAGGAATTTTCAAATTTCTGTTCCTTTCTGTTTCCATTTGTTCTATTCTCAATCCAATGGAAATGAAGATACGTCTGCTGTTGTTGCAAAGAACGCATTCTCATGGATCTGTTAGTGAAAGACAACTACTCCATCAGCACTGCAGGTTGAAGCATGGAGAATGTGAAGTGCCACTACAGTAAGACTGATGGAGAGTAATTTTGCATATGTATGTGTTGGTTATGCCCATGGAAATGGAAAAATCAAGAGGCAGAGGGTCTCTAAGTCACAGAGAATCCCAGTGCTCAGTGTAAGAAATAATTGTACTTGTCACTTCACAAACTTTGTAGGAAAGAATGCAAATGAAGGCAAGAATAGGTTTATAGCTACAAGGTGAAAAAAAAAATCAACAGTTACACAAAGAGAAAACATGAAGCTACTTAAAACAACCAAATCTTTTAATTAGAAAGCAACAAACATGCAAACAGCAGGTATAGAAATTTATTTCAACCAACGTTTTACTACAATGAGAGTTACTTTAAAACATTGATCCGAGCTCCCACATTTGCAGGTTAAGGAAAATATTGCACTTTGCATCTTCTGGTACCCCCCGTACATGGCAGAACATTTTAAAAACTTTTTTGCTTATTTTACTTGCACACTCTCCCAAAGTCATGCACACAGTCATCCAAAAACAAAAGGTTAGGTTATCCAAAAGCAATACCTTTAATTACAGTAAAGCTCTGTAAGGAAAAATATAATTAATGTCTTATACAAATTCTGTTAATGTCTAGGTGCTTGCACACAATTGGCAGTCATTCTTCATCTTCATTTTCATTCTCCTGACCAGATCCTTCTGATCTGTCACCTTCCAATCGGTCTGTAAGACACAGAAATTTAGTAAAGAGGAATTCTAAAGTTTTCAGGTTTTAGTAAATATTTCTAGTGCACTATTTCCCCGAGTCATTACACAACACACAGTGGCTGTGGGTTAGATAGTGAACGAAAATCCATATGCACTGACAGCAAAGTTTGGGTAGAAATGTTACCACAAGGAAGAAGAACAGGAGAAAAGCCCTAAAGGATTTCAGGCATAAAAGTGAAATTTGCATACAAAAAGGAAACCCATGTAGCGACTGACTGGCTGTCAGCACAGGAGAGATGAATACAAACATAAGATTAACAAGAGATGAATACAAGTGGGATTAAAACACTGTTCTAAAACTAGAATGGCTGCAGTTAGAAATTTGTATACTGCAAAAAACCTGAGGAATCACTGTCACTGTATACATCAGAAAAAGTACCTTTTGATGTAAACATTTAGAGAAAGACAAACACAGAAATGTGTGAGGGAACATGACTGTCTCAAGAGCTCATACAACATGCACTCTCAGGTGAAGAAATACTCCACCCAGCAATAACACAGATATTTTTGCTGTAACTGTTGTAACTAATGCGTTGTGTAACTCATATTTTAGTCCAAAGAAATAATAGCAAATGAAATAAAAACCACACTAGTATATTCAGTTAAAGCAGGGGCGAGTCACAGCACTGGGCTGGATACATTGCCTCACTTTCTACCCCATCTGATGTCTCTTCATTTTCCTACATCTGCACTATCAACCCACCACAGTCAGCTTCCTTAGCACTGACATCCAAGAACACCATTTCACAATAATGATTCTCCACACAACTCCTCACAGCATCAGTTGCAGCCCTTAGCAAACTGCCCCTTCACTGAAGGGACATCCTAGTACCTTCTGCCCCAGCAGTCAATGGCCTCATTAACATCTCCCACAGTCCTGTATTTTCACACTGTCCTTCACCTGTAGACAATTCCAAGCCCACAATGATAGTCAGCCTATTTTACAACTCATTCCAGTCATCCCCAATAGCCTTCCTATCACACAGCACTCACCTTAAAGATCACTGCCTAATAGTATTTTTCAAGATCTGCTTAGTACTACATTACAAATAAACTATTTCAGGATGGATAGCACAGTAACATCTAAAAGTATATTTTGCTCTTTTCTTGCTCTTTGTTTTGAGGGGAAAAAAACAAACCTGCAAAAATCTTGCAACTTTCATACCAAAGAAGCAATTCCTAAGTAATTCTATTAAGACACCTTTGGACAACCCTTGAATCTTCTCACCGACCCACAGACAGCTAAAGATCTTGACAGTTCCCCAAATCCATCAGCTATTTCATAGACTAGTGTGTTGGACAAGCTCTTCAAAAATCTGTTACCTGCTCTTATATGATTCAATGAAGCCAACATTCTTAACATAAAAGAAGCTGGAACAGTAATAGTATTTCTGGTTTCTTCCAGCATTAATTCATTACGTGTTATAACCTGGAGGCAGGAATAGGAAAAAACAGCATCAAAAATATGCAGATAAAAAGTTCCTAAGCAAAAGACATTTACAGAGACCAAAACTACAACAAGAGAGCAGTATTTAATAATTATTATCAAATACAGTTACACCAATTGTATGTGGTAAGACAAGTCAGACAGTGGACTCTGCCTATAGATATCTAATTGCCTATCTAAAGAATATTCTAGTAAGATCATCATTCTATTGTCCATGTGAATGGTGGATATTAAGATGCGCAAATGAGACAATTTTGGAAATGAGATCTTGTACAAAATATTGCACAAAAGATCTTGTACCGATGAAAGTGCTGTTACAGATGCCAACTGTTGCAGAGAAAGTTCTAGCACTAGTGATGGCCAAGAATGTGGGAAGGAAAAGAGATGAGGTTACCCTAAACTCCTACCTTCATGCTGTTTGAAAGTTTTGGAGAAAATCCAAGGAACACAAGAAATTACTCTATCCCAGTTCAGGAACATTCTTCAGCTCCACAATTCTTTCTAAACAGATCTACAGGTTGCCTCTAAATAACTTGAAGGAGTCAGCTCCTGCAGCCTTATTTTCAAGGGAAAAAAAATTTACTAATGAACACTTTTAGCTCTTTTGCCTCCTTCCTTCCTTCTGGTACATCCTTGACATCCTCCTTGCTTTGCTGTTAAGTTCTAATTCCTCACCTTAGCTTATGTCCCAGTTTTTAGGCTACGCTCTTTTGTTATTTCTTTAGGTGGAGACAAGTTCTGACCGTTATTCAGTTCTCCCTCCCAGATCAGCTGTTCTAAGCCAAGAAAATAGCGCATTTCTTTTTCTCCCCAAGACTCCTCCTCAAACCTGTTCCACTTGTGAGGAACAGTTCTTGCAAATGCCTGTGCTGGCCTTCTCTGAGCCAAATCAAAGCACCTGTCTTCCATCATTCTCATCTGCTTACTAGGCAATTTGCACAGTTGACAACTCCCTAAAAGACACAAACTGAGTGGAGAGCATGGTGCTGTTTTTTTCATATTTCAGCTCCTATTTCTCCAGGGCATCATCAGTAACACCCTTCTGACAGCCTGTTTCTGATGCTTTTTCTCTGTTCAGAGATTTGTTCCCATCCTCACTGTCTTTTCCTATTCACTAATGCCCTGACCTCTCTTAATTTTAAAGATGGTTCTATATTTATACTGAACATTCCCCAAACACAATGCTTTCTCCCTACACCATCCCTTCTATGGTATGTTGAACACTTACTCCAGCCATTTTATTTCTCTGAACTTCTCCTGTCCTCTACATAAGGATTTCAATACAGGGGTTAACAGTTCAGTTTTCTTTTTATATGGACTGTTGATACTTTTTCCAAATTCCTTCATGTACATTATACGAGATCATGTAATTTCTAGGAGAGTTAATGAAATACAAAGCGCTTCTGTATACTCCCAATAATATGAGAGTTAGCTATTACAAAGGGAAGCTTCTTATTTGTAACTTGTTTGTTGAACATTAAATAACTGTTTATTCAGTATCGGTAACTTGCACTAAAGGCTTTCATAGAATTGGAAAGACATAACACTACCGTGGAAAAGAAGGAAAGGTTCTTACCTCGTCTGCAAGTTTTCTGTTAAAAATCTTGGATTCTTCCAATGGCGACCAAATTTTTATATCATAATCAATACCCGAAGAGGCCAGAACTAGAAATAATTAAATGTGTTATGTCTTCACCAGTATTTTATGCACTTAACTGGAGTTGAAGAAAAATACTTCACTTGAAGCATCTACTTGGAAATGTCAGTTCCCCATTCTCAACATACAGCTATGTAATTACTGTTTCCATATGAGATCTGAGCTATAGGCTGTATATTTTTTAATATATATATA